AAAGTTAGAAATGGAGGAAGGAGTTTGATTTTCATAAATCTAAGTTCATATATGAATTCTACATGAAAAATCATATAGGAAAATCATCTGGAAGTTAAGTTAAAAAAGATAATACTAAAACCCTAAAGTAAAAGTTAAAAGGTTAGGGTTTTAGGTTAAAGTGTTGATGAAATTGTTAAGTTTATGAGAATGCCCTCTTGAATGCTTTATAGAAAATTGGCATTTGGAAGAGGAGAACTCTAAAAGCAAGGAAGGGAAGTAAAGGTTAAAGCTTGAAAGAAGTAGCAAGAACCTATAACTTAATGTTAACTTGTTTTGTGTGTTGTTTGCTACTTATGTTGTGCCACGAGGTGGTTGAGTTAGGTGTGTTATGATGTATAAAACTCCTTGCATCTGATACTTTGGGAATATGCATAGTTGAGTTGTGAAATAGAGTAGTATGATGGCATGCTCCCTTTCCATGGCATGATGATTAGATGATATGCAAGAGATGTGCATAATGAATATAATGATGCATGAAACGTACATTGATATATTTTGCATAAATTGTAAATGACTATATATGAATGACCTAATGGCTCTAAAGTGATGCAAACTATAGCTAAGTGATGCTTATATGCCATTCTGTTTGGGCTATGATTATATGATTCTGAGAAAAGCAAGAATCCCCAAGAAATGGCATAATAAGGGAATAAAAATGACTTGTTAAGGGTCTAATTTGGTCACCATGTGAATCTGGGCAAGTGGTGGACTTTGATCACGAATTTTGGAAAGATAGCATATCTCATTTTAACCTTTAAAATAAGTAGTAATTTGTAAAATTGGAGTTTCTTACCAAAAAAAAAATTATGTCTATCCAAAGTTAGGCATAAATTCTAAAAAATTGAAAAATGACCAAATGAACAGTACCACTTTGACTTAAAACTAGAACATAATGGTAAGGTAATGAGACCAATGAGTATTTTTTCTACCCAGAAAATTAATAAAACTTCAAATAAAACTTGGAACCACTACGTTTTGATTTTTTTGTAATTAGTTATGATTTTTTGAATTTGACCAAATTTCTAAAGGTTGCTATGAATAGTAACCTAGGAACAAAATTTTTAAAAGTTTGATTTTCTAATCTTGTGGTCAAATTCCATTTGATGCGCTATTAGGTACAAAGTTAAGGTGTTACAAAATGTACTCAATCATAGAATCATTAACACCATATAATATACCTACTCTTGCTGTTACCCCTAGCTTAAGTTTACCTTCATGACTTGAGTCCAACAACAAATGAGATATTGCTCTTCTTTATTCATTTGTTAGGAAACCACATTTTCTAGAACTTGGTTTAGAGTCAAAAAAAATCTGCACACAGCACAAATTTTGAAAAAAAAAAAAAAAACAAAGTCATGATAAAGTGCTTGAATGCAACAAATGAATTTAATAACATGAGAAATCAAACATGAACCATCAACTTTCAAAAAATGAAAAAAGAATAGAGACAATAATAGATAAAACTAATGGCATTATTTAGTTATTTGCAAGAATAACTATTAATAGCAGTATCATGAATAACATCCAACACCTACTTTTCTATAAACTTGATCGATTCCTTGTTACTCATAACAAAGCTACACTTTATGATGATTTTCAATTTCTTTTTAATAGTCAAACACATGGTATCTAGGTCAAAGCATGAAATTTAATTTGTAAAATAAAGTCAGAAAAAAGAAGTCGTCCAAATGAAGTGGAACAGTCTGATTTTCAATATCGGTATCTTCTTCATATGAGACCTCTTCATCTTCTTCACAATGGGGGTATTGTTATGCCAAGTACGACCCTTCTTCATATTCTAGGTCATATCTTATAGGCAAAAAGAAGCAAATTCATAGAGTATTATGTCAGAAAAGCAGAGTAATGTATCAATAAAATAAAAAAAATAGAGCAATGTGTTCAGAAGACAAAAAAGCTGATCATAATAAAACTGACGGGATGAAGTGTATGGCTCATCTTCATCATCGATGCATGGAGGTTGGTTTAAATCTAATGTAATAATGCCATTAACGGCATCATTTGAGAAAACATGGACCGTATTTTCTCCACTATTGTTGTTTTCTACGTTCTGACTCTAAGCAAGTAACATCAATGTTTAAGTCTATATCAATAGGCATGCGCATTTATTGTTGATGGCCACCTGAAACGTGTCTTCTCTCTTCCCTGCACATGTGAGTTAAATGAGAAAAGTTGTCTTGTTTTTTCAATAGGCAATGGAAGAGAAGTTTCAGTTCAAATGCCCGCCTTTTTTTGCACCTGCAATTTTGGAGCCTTTATTTCCCTTCACGTATTTTAATGGTTTATTCTCTCTCATTAATCATTTTCTCTCTTTTCATTTTTCCCATACTGTATTCTCTCTCAGCCTTAATTACTCATTTTAATGGCCACCTTTATTTGTCCTCTTATTAAATAAGGGCATGATTAGGAAAAAAAAGTTCAATTTTTACATATTTATTATTTTCAACTAATTTTAACTATATTCTTAAACCGCATAATTTGGTTATTGAGCTATTATAAAAAGGATAAGAGGGAGTATTTTATTAGTGACCAAAAAATAAGATGGTTGGAGAAAACAATCATCATCTATTGGAATTAAATACGTGATGGTTACAAGAGTAACTGTCATGTATTGTTTAGCGCGATCTGCTTTATGATAGGTGAACATTTTTCATTTAACTATCACCTATCTAGCGATATATATTTGAAAATCTGTAGTAGTATGAAGTGGACTAGGATGGTCAGTGCACTCAATTACTTAGAACATTTATTCATTGTATTAAAATACATTTACTTTGTCCATTCATTTCTATTATGAGAAAATTCGTAAACAAGTAGTCAACTAGTTGACTAGATAAACAAACTTCTACACTCATTGATTAATTTGTTATTTGCACTTGATTACTATGATTAAGTATAGGCTCCATGTGGAGAATTAACTTGGGTTAGTGTCATTGTATTGTATTTAGCTTAGTTTTATTTAGAAGCCCCTACCACATGGCTTGTCATTTTTCTACGTTGGATTCTGCCAAGTAATCAAACTCATTTCTATCATGTTATTCCATATCATTTCAAGGTCCTTTAATTAGTTATTTGGGCCATTATTGCTTATTTTATGATGATTTTGAATTAAAGACTATTAAATTAAAATAACCCTAAAAAGGGTAAAATTGCCATTTTTTGTGAGTACTTTTATTTAATTGATTTTTGCACTATATGGTATTACATCACCTTAATTTGTTTTACAGGTCACTTGGGAAAAATTGGAATTAAAAACTGAAAACAACAAATGATTGAGATCAAACTTAATGATAATTAAGGACCAAAGTTAGTCTTGCTGAAGGAGTAGTATTAATGACAAAACAGTTCCCCAATTTTGAAAATGACAATTCAGGACTAAATTCAAAAAAATCTGCGTTTTGGCTAGTTAGGGAAGCAGATTCTTCATATAATCCCACATAGTTCAGCCTCCACACTTCACCACACGTTGCCTATTGACTTCTCTCCATTCTCCACTCACCATTCACCTTCGTTCATCATCTTCTTTCATCTCCAATGTAACTTCCATTTTCACCATTACTTCCATCATTTTCAATATCTCCATTGGGTGGCTTCCTGCTTGCACTCATTTTGATCAAGCATTACACCATCGTCTAGTTCTTTTAGCATATGAAACTATCATATGGAGTTAACACAAGCAAAGAGTCATTGTTGTAAATGTGATTCTTGAAACTTGGCACTGCAGACTCATTTCTCTCTTATTTTGACTTGGATTGATTTTGCCTAGCAGAAGTACAAAAGCTTAACTATGGGGGACTTGATAGAGCTCATTATTTCTATATATTTTCTTTTTTAGTCCTAGGCTTTTAGCATCTTTAATTGATTAATTGGGCTTAATTTGGGATGAATGTGTATAATTGGTAGCGAAATCATTTTTATGACTTATGTGCTTACTTGTGACTTTATCAAATAATTTGACTCCTTGGACTGGCCTTGGCGCTATTTTAATTGCTTTTATAGGTGAGTTTGGAAGGAGAAGCTTTTACAAGGGAATTCTATGCCATGGAATTGTGATTCCTTTTCCCTTCATTAAAGGAAAGAGATTTCTACTTCAGAGGGAAAGCTACTTCATGGATGATTTTACCCTTTACTATTCAGGGACTAGGGATTGCGTCTTAGTCAATCATTGATCACTCCACATCTCATATCTCCCCTATTGCGGTTAGTGTGCTTGGTTAGTGACTAATCAAAATAGAGATTGATATAATGTTTGTTCAGTACAAGTTAGGTATTCGCAAACGAAATTCATGTCCTAAGTATAACCTTTGGTATTTGGTGGTGTTAGGGTGTTGGTAGCATTCACATAGAGGATCTCTAAGGGCTTATTGACCTAATAAAGACAATAACTCAACTAACAGGCGCAAGGGAGACTAGTGGAGTCATCCACCAAGGAACACGCGGTCATCATTGTATACATACTCTCATTAATCACTCATTTTCATTAATGAAACTCAATTGTGTTGGGTAATAGTCTCATGTTGCCGATTAACCATTGCTTTACTTGTGCTCCATTGTCTAAGTAATTACTGAGTGGAATTAGCATTTGTCCCCTAGGAGGAATACGACTTAAGTTGTCCCTATGGTATAGGGTTAGTCTAGCATTTTATTCGGGGTGTATGAGCGATAGTGCACATCAAGTAGTCAACTGCTCACAACATACAATAACATTACATTACATGAAACCTTATTAGGACTAACATGACATATAGTAGTACATGTTAACCGAATTTTAAATATTATAGATATCTTTTTTTTTCTCAAACAGCTATGTATATAGAATTAAAGTGCAAGTGAAATTAAAATAGTCCTAAGGGATTAGTGATTAGTTTTAAGGACTAAAAAAAATACTCCTCCGATTCTAAATATAAGGAACCCTTTTGTAGTTCAAATAGGTTTTATATTTATGAGCGGAGAAGTAGTAAATCTGCCTCAATGGGGGAACCCTTTGTGAAGAAATTTCTACGAAACTCAGAATATGAAATGGGTTTGTACAAGGGAGGAGAGCTTGAAGTGATCATAGAAATGTGAGGTTCCATGACGCATTCATTTTTTGGGTTTATGAAATATGCCACTGTTGTCCTCGCTGTGTTCGCGTTCGTCACCGCTCTGTGTTCAGCGCCAATCAGCCTTCCATTACTAATCATCTGAATTAGTCACATATATAACAAATTATTCAATTTAATTCATCATAATAAATAAAACTTACTATATATATACATATATATATTTCAATGCCCAAAAAAATTATTAAGGCTTTTTAGTTTGGAAACAATTCTAGCTGCCTCCCACATTAGTACTATAAGAGACAGACAACAGTTTCAAAGACAGAAAAAAAAAGAGCAGTTTTTATTATTATAAAATTGTTTTATAGAATTTAGAGAGAAAATGCAGAACGTTAACTGAGCGGGGAAAAAAGGCCTTTCACATGAGATCCCAAAGCTGTGGCTAAATGTGTCTTTTTTTTTTTTTTGCCCCCGTTCAAAGTAAGCCATGGTTTTCTGTTTTCCATATGTTGTTTTTATTAAATCTATTTCTAATATGGTAATTAGTACGGATATGTGTATTTTACCAAAAACATGTATGAAATGAGTTGCACCTACGGGTGATAGTTCATCAACAAAAAATTAACTTCTGGTTAAAAAAAATCAAGAAAAAATTAATTAATTAAAAAAATAGATTTTATATATCAATGCATTAGTAGTATGATTCAAAGTCACATCAAGCTGATAGGCATCAATAATTGTTTTTGGAAATCTTATGCTTCACGCAAGGTTTTATCTGTAAACAAATGAATGTTTGTGATGGTAAATATGCTGAATGACGTGTCACGGTATATAAAATTAAAATTAGGGGGAATTACAATCAAGTCTCATGAAAGAGAAATAATTACTAAAAAGTCCCAATAGCAATCTCAACAGCCTATAATGACAAGTTCTATAATGAAAATGACAACCTCTTGGACTAGTTTTTCAATTGTTTTCCTTACTTGAGACCTCATTGTAATTCTCCCTTGAAATTATGAAATCGATTGAACTAGTCAAAGGTTAATAAATATTTACGATTAAGAATTTACAAAAATATAAATATTTACGATTAAGAATTCACAAAAATAATTTTACTTAATTTATAAATAATTGAATTTGTCATGTACAATTAAAATTGGAGTGTGACTATATATTAATAAACTATGAATTAATGTCTCTATCAATCAATTTCATGATCATGAGTTTTTAAATTATTATTTAAACTTTAAGCATCAAGATTAGCATGAAATATAAAAGAATATAAGCTGCCACATACTACCTATAGTCCTTAATATAATATCTCGTTTGACTTTTATTTTGATCCTAAATATAAGACCCCAATCCATTTTGTCTCTCATATTTATCTTTTTTTTTCAAGATGGTCCTTTTAATAATGATAATTCTAACCAATACACTTAATTAACGAGGATATTTTAGGAAAGATAATACATATTTATTCCAAATAACTAACTTAACTTATTTCCTTAATCTCCTTAAATTAGTCAACTAGCTCTTATAATTAGGACCAGAGGCAGTATTTCAGAAGCTTTTAAAGTGCAATATTGGGTAGTTTGTACTGATCACCCTAATTATTTCATTATCTTAAACATAAACCTAGCTGATGAAAAATTTATTGGGAAAATTTCATTTCAAGGACCGCTGAAAGCAATTAATTTCCAAGAGCCCCCAAAACAATCTGAAAAGCCACTGCAGGACCATGGGGGCAAATTGAAATTAACTTCAAAACCAAAAAGACAGTGTTGCTCCTCAAACTATTACTCTAAAATTTGAAGTCTTCTCTCTCTCTCTCTCTCTCAACTCCTGATATTTGAAGCCTCTCTCGCTCAGTCTCTAAAAAATCTAGTTCATGCATTGAAGGAGATCATTCACTTCGCCATCGCTATTGTTGTGGTAAGGAGAGACTTTGCCATCGTCATTGCTCTGCTGAGGAGAGCCTTCGTCGTTGACCCTACTCCAGCAACAAGAGCCTCCATCATTGCCCCTGCAAGTGTTGGACGAGAGCCTTTTGTATAGATATGAAGCTAGTTAAACTAGAAAAACTTGCAGGAACGCGAACTCTACATGACTTTATTGCTGAATATAGTTTGTTTTTGTTTTAATATATAGCTATTTTTGTGTATATATGAACCTCAATATGTATTTTTGGAATGGTTCGTGAAGTGGCTATGACAACCCGTGAGTTGAAATCTATTTTATATAATGCTATGAATAGATGGAGAATTTCATGATGGTACTTGGAGGTAAACTGCCCCAAGTACTGAACTGAAACTAGCTAGCAACTATATAAATGTATAAACAAATTAATTGACTTGCAAATGTATGTATTTTTATTGTTAATGTATATATCCTTATTGCAAAGTTCCTAATTTTACTTGTAAACAGTCACTCCCGGACTTGTGAATTGATGTGTCCAACTTTTTGAATGAAATAAATCTACTTGTAAAAGGATGTATTTCTATTATTAACGAGTGTATCCGTGTTGTAAATTTTCTAATTTCACTTGTGAACCCTCACTCCCAGACCTGTGATAAACTTTTTCAATTGAGCCAGCTCACTTGCAAATGGATGTGTTATTCTTATTAATATACATATCCTATTTGCAAATTTCCTAATTTCAATTACAAATGATCCCTCCCAGACTTGTGAATAATTATGTTCAACTTCTTGAATTTGACTAGCTCACTTATAAATGGGCAAATTCTTGCTGCTAATATACTTATCCTTCTTGCAAATTGCCTGGGGAGCACTAATCACAATATCCCTTGTGTGATACTCATTTTCTATTGCTCATGAATTCATTCATTATTTTGAGTTTTCATTGATGCACTTATGTCAATCTATTGACGGTACTTATTGTTATGTCACAGGAATAATACACTTCACTAAAGTCTGAGTTGTGGTGGCTCGTTACTCATAAAAGAAATACGCAATCAGCTGCTATTGCGAAACTACTTCAACAGATAAAGACAACAAAAAACAAACCAATGACATAGCAATTATTATATTTTTATTTCAAATGTAATTTAAGCTATTTTAGAATGTGTTAAAATTTGTGTATGGAGAATTTGCACAATTTCCGTTTTAGGGAATATACTATGAGTAGGTTACATGTCAATTAATTACAATTTGTTGTCTTTCCCCACTAACTTGCGAGTATGTGATGTACTATTGACAACTCGAATTAGAAAATTTGCAATAAGGATACGTTGATTAACACTTTGATGTCATGGGTATTTGGCTGTCATATTGGCAATTAGAATTAGGAAATTTGCAATAAAGATACATTGATTCAGAAGAAAAACTCGTCCATTTACAAATGGACTAATATAACTAAAAAAGTCATACATGATTATTCACAAATTTGAGGAGCACTAATCACAAGTGGAATTAGGCAATTTGCAATACGAATATGCATGTTAACAACAATAACCCGTCTATTTGCAAGTGATCTAGTTGAATTCTAGAAGTTGGACACGATAATTCATGTCTGGGAGGGACTATTTGCAACTAGAGTCAGGTAATTTGCAAGAAGGATAAATATATTAACAGCAAGAATTTGCCCATTTATAAGTTAGCTAGTCAAATTCAAGAAGTTGAACATAATTATTCACAAGTCTATGAGGGATCATTTGCAATTGAAATTAGGAAATTTGCAGATAGGATATGTATATTAATAAGAATAACACATCCATTTGCAAGTAAGCTGGTTCAATTGAAAAAGTTTATCACAAGTCTGGGAGTGAGGGTTCACAAGTGAAATTAGGAAGTTTGCAACACGGATACACTCGTTAACAATAGAAATATGTCCTTTTACAAGTAGATTTATTTCATTTAAAAAGTTGAATACATCAATTCACAAGTCTGGGAGCGACTGTTCACAAGTAGAATTAGGAACTTTGCAATAAGGATACATACATTAACAATAAAACTACGCCAATTGCAAGTCGATTAATTTGTTCATACATTTATATAGTTGCTAGTTAGTTTCAGTTCAGTACTTAGGGCAGTTTACCTCCAAGTACCATCATGAAATTCTCCATCTATTCATAGCACTATACAAAATAGATTTCAACTCACTGGTTGTCATAGCCACTTCACGAACGATTACAAAAATACATATTGAGATTCATATGGTCCTACAGTGGCTTTTCATGTTGTTTTGGGGGCTCTTAGAAATTAATTGCCTTCAACAGTCCTTGAATGAAATTTTCCCAAATTTATTTTGATCTTAAATATAGGATTGCAATCTTTTTATTTCTATTTAATATTTTTATTACTCTTTTTGCCTCCCACATTTAGCAAATGACACATTTTTATACAATAGTGAATAATAATTAATTTTTCCAATTATTAATCAACTAGGTCGTATATTTAAGTTTGAATGAGTATGTTATATGAGTATAATAACTATTACTAACGACCGGTATATTTTGAAAGCATGATTAAAGATGCCTATATAGACACACCCCAAAGAAAGAGAAGCATGTATATGTATTACTCTATAGCTGCAAGAGAAGGCCTATGTTGACCACAGAGGCATTGGGAATTGGGTCAACACCAATCCATTGGCCATCTTTGAGCACTTGAAGTGCATTAATTCCTCTTGGTTGGAGAAGAATTGTAATAAGAGTTGGATCTTTGTGTTTCCCTGATCCCAACGTTAAATTTGGCTGTGGACATGGCGGATAGTGATTAGATACAATTACAGGATTTCCACTCAGTTCTCCGCAGAAATAATCTTCCTTCATTCCTAACCCTTCAGCAAGCATCTTCAAAATCCTTACTCCCAATTTTCTCAGTTCTTTTGTGTATTCCCCAACAATTTCTCTAACAAGAAACTAAAAAAACAAATAAGCAATCCATTGTTAGACCAACGTTATACTCCTCTGGTCCTATTTATAAGGCAGAGAGAGAAGACATTTTTTAGTCCTATTTATAGGGTATTGAGAGAAATTTTTCATATGAATGTGCAATTTTATCTTTCACTTATTATTGTGTTGACTTAGTTTATATGAGGTATAATGTATATTAAATAGGGATAAAGTTGAAAAGTTGCTGAATTTTAAATGAAAGTTAATGAAGTTTAAGGTTTTTTTTGGTCTGTGTAAAACATGTTAGAAGTGACTTATAAATATGACCAGATGAGTATGTATGTAGTAATTCTAATTTGCATATATCGTACTACTTATACAGAGAAGACAAAAATAATTGTGGAGTCAATTTCTTCCTTCATTCTATGATGGACTAATCAATGATAAAGAGTATTAATGATTTAAGGAATTTATTACTGTCAAATTTTGAAGATTCAAGAGACAAATTTTACTTAAAAAAACATCACGCAAACGAAGATCTGTGAACTTTACCTGTATCTTACTAGTTTCTGGGGCCAAAATTCCATGTATTCTCCAGAAGGAGGACAAGGGTGTCTCATCGTATCTCTCCAATATTGATAAGCATCTTTTTTGTAGACCTCAGAGCTTGTGTACAGCTTACAGATTCCATTTGGACTTTTTGAACTTTCAGCCATCTTTTCTTTCGGAGGCATACCATGGAATTCTTTGAAAATGTTCAGCGTATCCTCCGTTAATTCCTCAGAAACTCCATGGTTGATCACCTACTTCGCAGTATTCTTTATAAATATTATTATGTATACATATATATATTTCTGACACAAAATCAAAGCGTGCACTTAGTATTCATTACTTCAAGGAATTCAAATTTAAAACAACACCTACCTGCACGAGCCTTACAATTCTTAGAAATCATAAAAAATCTAACGGCGTTGTCAAAGAAACAAATGAAGTTAGCTGATAAAAGAATGAAAATATATATAGAAAATGGAAAATCTGAATCAAATTGAACCTGGAAGAAACCATATTCTTGGAATGCTTTCATAATGAGCGATAAGGTATCATGAGGAGGATGATCACATCGTCCAAGATCAATGACAGGGATTGACTTGCTTGAAGCCACAAGGAGCTCGCCGGGCCGGCTTTCGGGTGGATGAACGTGAGATGGTGGCACTGATGAATGCATATTATACCAGCTGGCCACTAACATCTCCTCCATTTTCATCTCCATGCTTTAGTTTAGCTCATTTACAAGAGAGAATAATAGTTCAGTAGAACATGTCTTCCTTAACAAAAGCATATATTTATAGAGTGTGAGGTAGAGAGACTTCGCCATTCAAGCATAACAATAGACTAACGGCCCGTTTGGTTCAAAGAAAAAGGATAGGAATGGAAATGGAATGAAATGATACAATACTATAAAATAGAATGAAATATTGATCACGAAAAAGGATATTCCTTATTACTGATTAGGTTTCAGGTGGATGTATTGCTTCCAATAAAGTAAGGAACGGAAGGCTTCCATAAACAATCATATTTCAGGATAAAATGTTATGTCTAAACGTGCAAGATATATAAATGCAATCAGGGTTTTAGTAGGAATCCAAACAAACAGACCGTATGTTTAGTCTTATAGATAGATAGATACACACATATATAGCTTTCACATTATTAAATATTTATTGTGGGTTTCATGTATGTTAGAAACAATCTCACCCAAGAGGGGGGTGAATTGGGTGAGTTACAAAAATTTAAAACTAAAAGCGTGCAAGTATTGAATAAAAACAGAGAGTCAGAGTAAGGAGAATTTTAACCACAGAGAGGAGACACAAGATTTATACTGGTTCGGTCTAATCCACGTGACCTACTTCCAGTCCCCAGAACACCTCTGAGTATTTCACTATCTTCCAAGATCGACAGGGCTCTTGGTGCCTCGGTACAGTAATTGAATCGCTCAATCACTCCCCCTTACTCCCGTAAGGATACAACCCCTCTCAAGAGTCCACACTCTTGAGTGTCTCTCAAGTTTTTAATAAGAGTAGTGAATGGCTCTCTTACAGAGTGAATTCAATGATAAACACTGATGCTCAGTAGTAAAGTGAAAAACAGAGTATTGAATGTGTAACTAAATAATCGCAGGTGGTAGTTCAGGTATTCAATTCCTTCATTAATGCCTCTTCGCGCCTTTTATAGTTGATATCGTTAAATAGCCGTTAGACGGAAGGGCTTCTAGCCGTTGTGACTTCGTTTGCGTGTTTCACTGGTTTTAACAACTCCGCCATTAATGCGTCTGAGTTTCTGACACTGTAGGTCGCAGTCTACGTAATCCCGTTGAAGAGCCGTTGCACTCGTTTTCATTAATCTGCATATTTCAAACTTAGAACAAGTGAGAGTTTTGTGGTGAGTGCTTTAATCTTGAATACAGAAAGAAAGCTAATCTATCATTCAAGGATTTGTGCCGAAATCATTTATCAGTAAGAAGAACAAAATGTCATTCTGGTTTAGTTTGATCGAAAAAGTGATCGATTACTTGATGATAGATCAAGTTATCGATAACCAGAATGAAGACTTTTCGAAGTAGATCACTAAAATTATCGATCAAGTGTTGGATCATTGACTTTAAGAATTATCATAGAAAGAGGAAATTATTGCATGATCGAATAAGTGATCGATCACATAATTGATCAAACAGATTATCGATAATTTAAATGTTATTGAAATGAAGCTTCAGTCATTGATGATCGAACATCTTATCGATAAATATATAATGCATAATGTTATCGATAAACCATGGGTATGTATATATTCAATGAAGAACACAGGCTATCTGAAAAGATCGAACATTTAATCGAACAATGAATATTCGAACAAATGATCGAATAAATTATGAAGAGAAGATTAATCCTTTAAGGCAAGGAAACTGGTTATCGATCACCTTTTGTGAAAACATGATTTTCATGGAATTGGATGATCGATCATATTATCGAAAAACCAGTGATCGATAACTTGATCGAACATTCGTTCACCATAACTTAATGCGAATATGTCAATTCTTAGACTCTTTATCGATCACGTTATGTGAAAACTTTTGTTGAGCAAATAAGTTAAAGTTATCGATAATGTTATCGATAATTTAGCTTTAGCAAAATTGAGTAAGAGTAGATAAGGACATTGATTATCGATCATGTGATCGATAATTTTGTGATCAATAAAGTTATCGATCTATCAGTGAATTTGATCACCTGCATTCAGAGAGTTAGAGCATAAAGTTCGAGCACGTAATCGATAAATAGATGATCGAAAATATGATCGATAAACTTGTAACAGAACTAATGTGCAGAACAAGTAGAGAGTGTTACCTTTTATCGAAGTCGTTATTGATGACTGATTTATCGATAACTTGATCGATAAATACACTTCAGATTTGGGTCTCTTATCAGTAACTCGATTGTTTACCTGATATTATCGATCAGCTTATCGATAATTTCCCAAAGTCTTATGTGATATTTACGCTAGCGATTACCGATCACTTTATCGATAATTTATTCATCGAATAGTTCTTCGATCAAAAAGACTACTATAGACCCGATTTATACTTGATCATTTATCTGAAACCTTAGCGATAACTGATTGCTCGATCAGTTGATCGATCAAAATACTTAACCCTGAAATTCTGACTTGTTATCATCAAAACTATAATCCTAACATTCTCCCCCTTTTTGATGATGACAAAACACAGGTTATGAATCATTTATCAGAGAGAACATCAACCAGTTTCATATTCTCAAAAAGCATGAAAAAGGGCAGATAAATATTAAGAACACATTATCGATAAAAACACTATCCAGATACATAAAGGAGATAACAAAAGGATAATATAAAGTCATGACATAGAACCAAAGCCATATAAAGTCAGATAACAAAAAGCAACTCATAAAGCCATATAAACTACGAAGTATCATCAGTTTTCTTCTCCCCCTTTTTGTCAGCATCAGAAGGGGTAGGAACCGAGGGAATGGTTAGGGAAATAGGGAGAGGAGGAAGAGGAAAAAGTGGAGAAATAGATGGAAAATGGAGGGAGTGAACAGGTTGGGGTACAGTGATAAGAGCAAGAGTCGTAGGGACAGAAGTAGAAGTAGATGGAACAGAAGGAGAAGTGGTGGAAATAGGAGAAGTGGGTAAAGGAGAAGAAGGAGGTGCAGGCTCAGGGTGCGGTGGAGAGGGAGGATGGAAGAGCAGATCCTCATAGCTGAAGCTTGTGCTAGGTGGAGTGAAGTGCTGGCAGAGAGAGGTAACTAAGCCTTTAAGTTCTTGGAGTTCCTTGTCCACAGAATTAAACCTCTCGGTGACTTCTCTTTCCAAAACCACCATAGCTTGTTGGTGAAGATCCAGAATCTTAGAGATGCCATCAAACTTCCGGTCAGAAACTTCCCCATAATCTCTGGCAGTGGAGTAGACTCTGGTCTCAAAAGCCCGAAGCTCAGCCTGAAACATTTCCCTGAGTGATCTCTCCATAAAAGATGGACCAGGGGTATGAGATGGGGCAGCAGTGGATTCAGCTTCATCCTGGGTCCGAGATGTACTAGCAGCAGGTTGCTTTCCCTTATCCTTCTGAGATACTTTCTGTGATGGTGTAAAGGGAACAGAAATCCTCATTTTGTGGAGTTGAGTGAGGCCAAAACCAGGAACCTTAGTCTTGATTTCCCCAGGCTCAAAAGGAGCAATGTTATGTGCCTGAAGGAAATAGGTGGCCAACTGAGGATAGGGGATTGGGGTTGATCTGGACTTATTAAGAACAAAGTCCTTCATCTCAGAGTAAATAAGATCCCCAATATTAATCTTTTCCCCACTAATAATCCGGGCTAGTAGAAGATAATCATCCTGAGTGAGATGTGAGAAGCTACCGGATTTGTTTACCATACACCTAGAATAGATGTAATGAATGATCCTATAGAAGTCACACATCTGCTTAGGTGGGAAATTCAGCTCACCGGGATAATCACTGTTCTGCATTAAGATTCTATAGGCCTTTACTTCATTCATGTCACCACCTCGCACAAAATCTTGAGTCCCTAGCAGCTCATTTATTTTGGCACTGGTTATTTTAAAAGCTCTTCCTCTCAGTGTAACTTTCAGACAATTTTCTATGAGATTGTCTTTATCATCATATTTTTCTACTGATTCCATATTACAGTAGAATCTTTTAACCACTTCGGGACAGTATTCACCACCAATAATTAACCAATTCGAATAATGCTGCAGTGGGTCACTTAAATCAAGCTCAATCTGTTTATTTTTCTTCAGACCCTCTAAATCAACAGATACCACAGGACAGAATTTTCTATTGGCAAAATCGGCCTTATACCTTGCTATATTAACTTCATTATCGAGATTGCCAGATAATAACTCAGAAAATTCAGTGGGTATACCTACAGAAGGGATTTCCCGAGCGACTCCTTCACTTGCCCTCTGTTTCTTCTTTCTCGGTTGCTTGGGGACAGAGATATTCAAGGCTGATTCCACGGCTTTCTGAACTGAGACCCCATCATCCGACTCGGTCTCCGATTCCTCAGTCACAATCGGTAGCTTTGATTTGGACCGGGGAGACTTTCTGAGAGAGGCCGGTTGTTCTTCGGTCCGACTTTCCCGGATTTTCAGAGTAGCTCTCTTCTTCGTTGATTCCTCCCTCACCTTCGGTCTGTAGCGCTTTCGAGTACCCGAAGCAGTGGTGTCACTCGATTGAGGCTGTTTCTCCGGTGCTTCTCCCTTTTCCACGTTCGGTTGCTTCACCCGAGCCATTTCGGAGGTGCTGAGCGAGTTTTTGACAGATTAATCGGTGAGTTTGAGGTGGGTGAAGGTTTGGAATGCAGCAGAGAAGGATTCGATCGGTGTAACGGTGGAAGAATTTAAGATAGTGGTGAAAATCGACCGTTGCGAAGAGCAGGGGACGGGAAATGTTCGAGTTAGGGTTCGAAAAACTGACGAATGGATTTCAGAACAGTACCGTTATAGTTCTTGAAATTATCGATTAAGTTATCGATCAACACTTGATCGATCACGTGTTCGATAATTATGAAGAACACACTTGAACAAAGATCAGTTTTATCGATTACGTTATCGATCATGCATTTATCGAACATATTATCGATAAAATAAGTAAAAAGAAATGCGTACCTGATGTAATTTATCGAATATTTGTTCGATAATTAAGCTTATCGGTCAGCTTATCGA